CAATACTACTTAGCTATTAACTTATATTGGGCAAGAACGGAAGGAGACCATAATGTTGCATATATCGCACAACTTTCAAGTTAATAAAATTTGTGCGCTTAGTTGCACAAAACCCTCAGTCGCATCCGAGAAACCTAGGTATAGTTTAAGAGGCGAAAAATTTGACACATTCTGGCATTTGACGATAAAAGTGAAAGTAGCGAAATATAAAAGTTGTCAATAATCTGTGCGACGTTGAGTCTTGAATTTTCCAATTTCTGAAAAAGTACATTTAAGTGAGCTGAAGTGAACGGTAGCGAAACTGTTTATACGGTCTCTAAACAAGCGCCTCTTTAACAAATTCCGCCATGCGACGCGGAAGAAAATACATAGAATATGCAGTGTTTCTTACGTTTTACAGATTGATTAACTTTTGTGAGCAGGCATTGATGAAATAACCAACAAGCATTTCGATACCGAGTTACACGTAGGATTTTCCGACTTGAGGAATAACTACCCTCAGGGAGGACTTCTGACGGGTGTCTGTGCTCGTCAGAAGTCCTATGGGATTTCGCGCTCCTAGGGGGATTGTTCCTGAGCGCCCCACCGCTGAGCTCGCGGTGTCTGACTGCAGGTCTCAGTTGTGGGGTTAAGTTATTATGTAGGTAGGATTCCTTACATTTCCCTTCTCTGTCTCTCTCGTGCGGGCGGCCGACGTCCCGTGTAAGCGACCTCTTGTTCGAGTGTCTTCGTTTCTGTTGCTTTTCACCTGTCCCTCCTTGTCACTTCGTCTCTTTGAGATGCTAACGCTGCTTCCTTCGAGTCAGTTTCAGCGGGCTGGACATCTGAGACCTTCCACCTCTTGTGGGTGATGACCTATTTTTGATTTGAGAAACTTTTAATAACTGAGACCTTCCACCTGTTTGGTGATGTTCAACATGACTTTCGGTGCGAGATAGCTAAATCGCTGAAGCGCTAGTAAACATGTGGCCACTAAACTAACTAACTAACTTGAGGAATAACTTAATTACGTTACCGGCAAGCTACAAACTAATGGAGCTTCTAGCAGTATTGTCTACGAATCGTCTATAATTTTTACCCCTAAGAGAAAACTTATAGTTCGTTGCTATAAAGACTAAATCTGCTGCAATATCGTTGACAGAACGACACGCCAACTTGATACATGAATGTGAAATCAATTCTCATACAACTTTAACACTCTAACTAAAACCCTTACTCTAAGCTATCATGTACGACAAACGTTCATTAATTGTACTTGAAAATATCGAGATCAAGATAAAGGAAAATTTGAGAAATTCGTAGCAGAAAAAATGCGTACGCTAAGCGTTGGACTTTCTATGCAGAGGCCTCTTGGAACTGGTCATATATAGGTACGTACAAACAAATTGCAAGTCTCATGTCCCTGCTGTACGAAATATAGATGCGTGGCAAGCACACATAATTGTTCATTAGAGAATGAAGAGAAAAGCAAGGTTCTTATTGCAACGGTTCTTAATCCATATGCTTAAACGAACGCGATATTGGAGGGCGCAACATGCAAATAAGGATGATCGCATTTCAGATGAAAAGAAAGCGAATGAACACACGAGGAGCATTATGATCGTAAGAGATTATGAATATCATTCTTCCCTGAAGATCGTATATATGTTTTCTTTATTGAGAACTGGTATATGCAGAAAGAACTGGTATTGAGAACTGGTATATGAGAACTGGTATATGCAGAAAGAAATGCTCGTCCGAAAACGGGCCAACTCTACGTTCCCTAACAAAATTTAGAACCGAGGGCGGCTCTGGATTAAGGAACGCCTAGGACTCGGGGAGCATATATATAGTCCACCATCTTCCTTATTGTCCGCTTTTAGGTCTACATTCCGGTCCCCGAATCAGACAGCTACAAGCGCCCGGTACTTATTCTGCCAACTCTTGCCCTACTCTCAGGAGACTATAAAGTCGGCAAGGAGGTTCTGACTATAACAGTTATATCCAGGGCAACCTACTTTATTGCACGTATTTATACTGGGAGCCTTTTTTTCTAGCAACCAATGCAACCAATTCTCAATAAAGTAGGTTCCCCTAGGTTGCTATAGTTGCTGATTGCGATCAGTTGGCAAACTGACCCAGAATAACTCTTACGCGAACATAGCAACTCTGGGGCGGAGGCTGAAGCATACCCCGAATTTTGTTAGGGTTTTTACGTCTACGTCAGCAAAGTGCTGCCCGATAGGTACGGCCTTACATTAAAATATCACGGCGAATTCGTCAGCTTAGAAGCTGCCTGATAATTTTCTCTATTACCAATAAATTGTGCAAGACGACAGCAAGCGCGAGATTTTCAAAAATTTTGAATTTCAGGTTAAAAAAATCAGCTTAAATGATCTTACAATCTTTTACGATTGATCATTTCAGCGCACAGGATAATCAGGCATCTGTGATCGCGTTAGGTGAATCAAGAAACTGTCGCTCAAAACCTGCAGCGGCAAGTCGTTAGGCGCTTTCCTTACTAACTCTCACTAAACCTTCAGATAATCGAACTAATTATCGAAAGAACAATACTGCAGTAACGCAAAGATACAGAATGTTAAAAGGAGACTGAGCGAATAACAAATATCGCTAAAACCCAAAAAACAGATAATAGTCGCGTCATAACCTAGAAGTTCAGAAAGACAAAAACGCGATGAACTTTCAGATTTATAATGCGATCTGCAGTACGCAACATCAACAGCCCAATTAATAAAAGACTTCAATAAACGAGACCTAGTTACTCAACCTCTATAAAACACTCACCATAGACCAGTAGTAGAAGCCAAATGTATTAAGCAGAAACTTAGAGCGAAACCTACTATGATATAAAAATGAGGCATTAGCACGGTATAATAATGCAGCAAGCAGGCACTACTCACGGTGTAGGGGTGCAGGGATGCGGGCGCGTCACCAGCAGCCATGGGCGCCCCGTGGCCCCCGCCGGTGCCTACGGTCTTCGTGGCGGTCTTCTTGTCACTGCCGCTGCTGCTGGCTACGTACGATGGCTCCGACGGCACTAGAGTGACACGCACGAGTGGGTGAGACACCAGGCAATTGCTTGGTAAAATTCTAAACAAGCTTGTATGCTCCATCGTTTGAAATACTACCATAGAATTTAATCTTTTGTCGATAAATAAATTAAAATTAATAAATTAACCGTTGTCAATGTAATGCAAATATAGAGGCCCAGTAAATGGCGTTATTGGTAATAGAAAGATATTTCGAGTTTCAAACATTCTCATTGAGAGGATGCTAATAATGTGAGAAGTTTCGACCTTAATGATGGAAATGACGTGTTTTATTTGAAATAGAGACGGTATTACCACCTCAATATGAATAAAGTTAGTGTAATAAGAAACTAACCGATGTGAGGAGCGTGCTTCTGGTCGTCCTCGGTGGTGGACGGGGCGATGTAGTCGTCGTCGTCGCTGGTGAGGCCGAGCTGGTCCCCGTACGACGAGTGCACCCACTGCCACAGCTCCCCCGCCGGCATTTGCTGCCACAAGACAATGAACACATTACAGTCATAGTAAAGTCCTTTAAAGGAAAACACAAAGCATATATTTAAGAGAATAATTTCTTTAATAAGGTTTATGTTCAGCAAGCGCGCACTGCTGAATTCAAGGTAAATATACCATGGGTCTGGTAATCAATCTAAGCCGATCGCTGGATTGGTCAAAGGGAAGGGTATTATGTGTCAGATTTATGACGAGCGAACAGTAGAGTATACACAGTCAAATGTATTGATACCTAAAAAACACGTGCATTGCAGAATTCATGAACATGAAAGTGCTAGACTTTTACTCCTGTTTCAAACCTCTTTAAGTGCGAGTTATACTAAGATCAAATATTTCAATTTCCTTTTCACCCTTGTCAGTAAGTAGCTAGATTGATATAATTATATTTAAAGTGTTACGAGTTTCGTTCGGGAGAACTGACTTAGTGGCAGAATCCTATAAGGCTTAGCCCCGACTCTCTACAAGCGCTCAAATGCAAAAATGGTTCTGGCGGGTCAGCGAGATAGTGATGGTCGTAGAACTACCAGTGACATTAAAGTACCCGGAAAAATTGACCTATCACCCCCTTCCTAACGTACGTAATTGCCACTACCAGGATGGGCAATTACACACACAGACACACAAGCGCTCAACAGGGGTATAAACTACACTAAATTTGCAGTGGCCTCAGGTACGGCAACATCATTCTTACTGTAAGAATGTAAGTTTGGTTTTAATCAAATTAACATCTTTATACCCAATAAAGGGAATACCTATATGAATATCATTCCCGATAAGATTATGTTCAAGGAACCGATTTGACAGATCGCGAGTCAAGCACTATAAAGAATTTATTTTATTTCGGAGGCAATACGGTAGTTCATGAAAAGCGTGGTATCATAATTTCATTCGAAAAAATGACAATAGGAGTTTCTGGCTAGAAATTTAGGGAAAGCATAGCTGATAAAGGAAAAGTCCATGTATTTACCTGGAGTGTTCTGCCTCACAGTACCTGGTCCATGAGGGCGTTCTGCCACACAATACCTGGTCCATGAGGGCGTTCTGCCCCACAATACCTGGTCCATGAGGGCGTTCTGCCCCACAATACCTGGTCCATGAGGNATACGAGAACAAGGCAGTCTCATTAATATTGAACCCAATGGTATATAAATTAATCAACATACGAGAACAAGGCAGTCTCATTAATATTGAACCCAATGGTATATAAATTAATCAACATACGAGAACAAGGCAGTCTCATTAATATTGAACCCAATGGTATATAAATTAATCAACATACGAGAACAAGGCAGTCTCATTAATATTGAACCCAATGGTATATAAATTAATCAACATACGAGAACAAGGCAGCGTCATTGATATTGAACCCAATTTAACAAATCATCAACATAAGAAAGCAGAGCAGGCTTAATAATATTTCACACAATTAAATTCATCGTCATAGGAAAGGCAGGTTCACCGTTATACCTCTTGGTAACATGTACTATGAATAACTGATCATTAAAATTAATGTTAAATCTTCTGTGCGAATTCTTCAGCCTAATATTTTGGTATCATCGAGTTCTTGACAGATTCAGTTATTGAGAAACAGGATAAATTAAAACAAGCCAATGACAAATACTAAAGTTCATGATAAACTTAACGAGATGACGTGCAGAAAAAGTTTCATAAAATTGATGAAGCGCAACAATCTTCTTTTACACAAATAATCAAATCAATAGCGAAATCTCAAATAATTTCAGAGTATTGGTCTAGAATTAAAATCAAACCGATGAATAAGGAGGACATAATGGACCGAAATAAGAATAATGAGCTGCACTTGACGATCAGGGCATATACTTTCAAAACTCGCAAAGTGAACGTAAGTACTTACGCGCAATTTTCTTGTATATGATTGGTGGATTTTGCTTGAAAGTCCGTCAATGATTGGCTGATGAACTTACGATCTCGTAACTTTTTTTGAAAGTATAGGCCCAGAGTAAGAAAAGCTTTGAAATTCTTCAAATAATAGAACTTTAATTAATAATGTGTATGGAATGCTTACCAGAGTTTCCCATCCGAATATTTTAGAATAGAAGCAGAAGAAGTTTGGGGTGACGTAGAGACGACCATGCACCAAAATGTCCTTCTGCATCGCACACGAATAATCTGCAGCACGAGGGGGGGTTAGAGGGGGCATCACGCTGGGGGCTGTCTCTTATACACATCTAGATGTGTATAAGAGACAGAGNGTTATATGACATCAACAGACCCACTAAGAGGCGTTCATCAAGACGTTATATGACATCAACAGACCCACTAAGAGGCGTTCATCAAGAGGCAGGTCCTTGAAGAGCCTCTTAAGGTCCTCAGAGCGGCTCTTGTAGTTGGGGTTGAGCACGTTGTACCAGGCCTTCTTACTCTTCTTATCCTTCTCAGACGAGCCCTGAGGAGGACTCTTCTCCTTCTGGCTCACCACGCTCTGGCTGCCCGTTGATCTCGTCGACTCCGAGTACCGGCTTATTGAGTCCTGCAATAATATTATACAATTGCATTACACAATACAACTGCACAACGCAAAACAATTTCATAAGACAATACAATTTTATAACACATTAAAATTTCACAATATAATACAATTGCATAATACAATACAATTGCACAACACAATACAATTGACCAACACAATACAATTTCACAACACAATACAACTGCACTACGCGATATAATTGACACACAATAAAAGTAAAGTATAAAGTGTCCTACTAAAAAGTAGGACAATGCCATTCATTTAGACAGGCCAATACAAATAGAAAATGAAGATTTTCGCTAGTTTGCCGACCACTGTTTCTATGACAACACAGAGCGAGAGCTTGTGTTATGTGTTAAACAAAAATTTTCGCTTCAATAGTTCAGAACAGTTCAGCTGTTCATATTATGCAAGCGATAAAGTAAAGAGCCGGTATGCCGGTACTAGGGTAAAGCATCAACCACAGTGTCATCCTGACGCCCAATTAAACTCTAACATAAAAGTCACCGGTAAGAATATAAGAAATGAAGTCAAAAGTAAGTAGGATATGAAAAAGTAGTATCTCAATACGACAGAAATCACCACCGAAATAATAAGCTAAATTTTTGTTCAACTGCATGGGTTGTCAGCAAAAAGAATTACGAATTATTTACCAGATAATAAGTACATGATCGATGAATTTCTAGAGTCATCACTTTGACAGGAATGCCGGCAATCATTGAATCGTGCACTGTTAGAAAAATTACCGTTAACGGTATTACCGGCATTTCAGTGTCCGGTCGGCACGTGAAAAGAAACACCGTGTCGCCGTTCTTATTCCAATTTAACACTAGAAATCCGTAAAACATCTGATAAAAACAGCGAAACAGTTTATTTTCACGGGGCGACCGGCCACTAGAACGCAAGTGGGACCGTTTTTTAGCTGTTTTTTCTGTGTGTACACGTGTGTAATCATGTGTAATCATGTAATCAACAGTGTGTAATCATGTGTACACGTAGGGCTTTGCCGTTAATGATATATAGTGTATGGTATATGGAATATGGTTTATGACATATGATATATGGTATATGGTTTAAGCGGTGACTTATACACTCACCTTGAGGCCGCTGTAGGTGCAGTCGTCACCGCCGCTCTCAGCGCCCGACAGCGCCGTCGGTGGTCGGGGGCTCGGCGAGCGCCGGTCGCTCCGTAACCTGCAAGGGGCGTCAAGTAGTCCACGTTTATGGCGTGCTGTTTTCGCCGTAAATTTTACGAATAACACAAAATTTATAATTGAACTTGCTAAAGTCGTTTAGGAATAAATTATATCACAATCAAAAAGATGCATACCGCGTATACAAGAGATACTGGTTGTTATAGGAATAATTATATCACAATCAAAAAGATTGTGATATTATTATACTAGTTATCGTTTCTCGGTACGATCAATTCCGTATAAATTTGGCTTATACCAGCAGGATATATTTTTAGCGTCATTGCTGTTTTCTCACCTGTTCTGCTGGTACCCGTTGAGATCACCGGTTGAGGGAGAGTTGACCACCACCGAGGGATGAGTCACATACAGGCTGCCATTTATGCCATCTCCATCAACAACCGCAATTCCACTTGAATTTTCCTCGTTGATGAAGTGGTTCTCGCTAGGCAAACGTTCGCTTATGCCAACAACTGAACTTTTGTGACTAATATTTGTGGTCTCCTCGGACCGCAAGATCAAGCAATCCATGTCGGAGGCCGCAACGTCTTTGCTGATGCGGCGCACGCTCGAGGAGTCAGGTTGGTTTTTCATGGGGCTTGAGTTCTGACGAGTGCGATCGCTATCGGCTGGATGAAGGCCGTTGGAAGAAGAGGACGATTTTCGCTGCACGTCTACGGCGTCTTGCCAGCCGTTATTGCCTTGTTGAGACAAGGGAGATGCGGGTGATGAGGACTCCTCGGATATTTGGCGGTAAGGAACGTAGTGTTCAGTGGGACTCGACCGGTACTCAACGGAGGTAGAGCCTCCTGAAGACAAATGAGTGCTTTCAGCGACAGGCACGGCTGCCGCCGATGCCGATGAATTGGCCGAGTGAGATGAGAGGCGAGATACGCTTAAGTTATCAGATTTGTGACTCTTGGAATTAGGCGATGCACTAAAAGAAACGTTGCCTTCGCTAGATATATTTTGCTTAAGTAGTTGGTGTTGTGAATGGGCAGAAGAGATACTGTCATTGCGATCTTTCGTAGCCTCGTAGCCGACGCGGTCATTGACACTAATGCTGCGGGAATATCGAACTTGCTGGCGTTGTTCCTCAGTATCGGTATTAGCTTTACTATCACTGCTGCTATAGCTCATCTTTTCTTTCTTATCTTTCTTAGATCCGCTTTTGCCGAACTTTTTGGAACTTTTTTCAGATTTGGCAGCAAGTTTGGCATTCTTCTTGGCTGCCTTCGCCGATTCTTTTGAAGGAGCTTCTGACGACGATTCGCGGCTGACCATACCATCGTCTTTCAGCATGTCCGCTTCAGCCGTCTGGTCCGGCGCCGGCGCGGAGATAGCGTGGCGAAGACGAGCATCTCCGGGGCTTGATTCCTTGCGCTGCAGAGGACGGACAGGACTAGGAGCTTTTAGGGGCAGTGGCTTGCTACGCAGATCATCTTCGATGGTCGCTTGGTACAGATTTTCCGCCGATTTCCACCTGGAACATAAAGAAGATTCAATATTCTGGTCAAAATCGCAGGCATGAAAGATGAAACAACACCATAAGGAATGAGAGATAGCACGAACAGTAACTTTTTCAGTATTTTTGTTTTTAAATGAATAGAAATTGTTGATTTATTCAAACAAGTTGGCTTTAGAATTAACTTCTTAGGTCTTAACACAAAACTCTCAAACAGCGAACGATCACAAGTATTGTATTCATTACGAGGGCCGTCATATTTGCCGCTGGAAAATTATACAGCCGATTAACACGATTAGCATTGATCGGGAAAAAATGACGAAATCCGAATCACGTGAAGTACGAGAAATGAATAAATGTGTTGAAGAAGCTACGCTAGTTTCAACCAAGTTCCAAAGGAAGACGAATAAAACGTTTTGGCAATACAGGAACAAACCTCATGCAGTTCACGGAAGAGACATAAGTTCTTCGGAGTTTGGCCATGCCCATACTGATGAATGATTTAATGACTCGTACGAGTACCGCACAGGCGATTGAACAGCAATAAAGCACGAGCTAGTACAGTGATTAACCGCGACCAAAAACCGTGTTAGATTTATAGATGATCGACAAACAGTCATACATGAAAAATGTATGTTTTAACAACACATTAAGTTCGGTACGTAAGAAGGAATTTGTTTGGCAGTTGCTGAGATAACAAGGAAGCTTATAGGCAAGAGGTAAGGAAAGCCACATAAAAATGACAAATGACAAACGTGTGCTGCAAAGTAAACAAGTGATTAAAGCATACAAGCCCATCATATAAAAATTGTTCTACCACTCCATTTAATCCTTAATTAGGTCTCCCAGCGTAGAATGCAAAATGCGCAATCGACACACAAGACGCAGTGAAAGCAATTTCTCAGCTAAATCGTACTTCATAAATCGTCCTATAATAATAATAATAATAATAATAGAAATATTATATTAATACCTAATATAAGGAGCCCATGACTTGAAAATTAAATATTTTGTATGTACGGTATGTATTTCCCCGTAAAAAGTAATTTTGAATTTCACTGCTTGGATCAGAATAATGGTGCTGATGCTGCAGTTCATTAAAACTTGATTTAAATTTACAATTTCCAGTTCAGACAATGAATTCTCATGATGAATGCATGCATAAAAACTTGGAACAGAAGTCAAGCTAAATCAAGACAAATTTAAAGAAAGAATGTTTGTTATAAGATATAAAAGTGACAACAACCAATTAAAGGGCAAAGAGAGAATCAGTCAAAACAGATGAATACGACTGCATGTATGAACAAGAAGCATGCGTTTTTTACTAAGCATTCCATTGGCCCAGTCATCTTATATAGGTATATTTGTCAAAGTTGAGTGTTTTCTGTATAGAGATGTTGAGTATAGTTTAGTATAGTATAAGTATAGTTGAGTGTATATGTGTGTGTTGTCTGCCTGGCAATCGAAATATTCCAGGGGTATATGAGGGAAATTTGACTCATCGCGTAGGGGAATTGCCTCGACCAGAAAATTTAAATTCTTCGATAAAGAATAGAAAAGCATCACAAAACCGGGAGAAAACGATTGGACTAAGAATTTAACTTTGATTTGTAAATTCGTATTTATGAATTTTATTTTTTAAGCAAATTGAAAATGTTTTCTTTCAATATTGTAGAACTGATGAGATGCAAGTGGGAGTTCCATGTTTAATGTGGATTTGAACTGGTTTTTCTTAATTAGCACTAATTAGCTTTATTATTTTTGATATTCGGGATGACGGAATTCTAGAATTGTAGGGACTATCAAGCCTGAGCTCGAACTACTTGTACAATTAATATTGAGAATATCATTCCATTGCCAGCTGATGGTATACGAAAATTGATTTGGACTTTTGAGTAATTCCAGAAATGAGATAGCATATCTTGCAACCGACACATGCACAAACAAATATCAAAGCCTTACTTTCGTCGATAAAACCACTCAAATTTTGCTATTCAATTAGTGGAATTTGAGAAAAACTCGTGCGGTGTAGTCGTTGGAAGTATATAGGCACACAAATGAAAAATATGCAAGGCCATAGAAACGACTTACCTAATACAAGCTAACGGGGCGATAGACAGTAAGCAGGGTTTTCATAACAGCTACACACTGAGATGCATGAACAAAAAACACAATGGCTTTAATATGAATACGTTTAACTTGTATTTAAAACCAATACTAAGACACTAGGTTTAGAGGATAATTGGCGTTCAAGCCCCAACAGGTTTCTAAAATTCTGCGCACATTAGTTAATTATAGCAGAGAGACATGAAACATTACATAGATTAAGAACCCAAAAGGACAAAACATTATAATCATATGAAGTAGAACGAAAACGGTCCTTGAAGACAAGCAATAATAAAGAGGTAAAGTGAACATGAGTAATAATTTAGAACGAGGGTTTAGTAGCGATCAGCTATGGGAGCTAAATCTTGCATATAGGAAGTCACCAAATAAATATGACTAAGAAGATGGATAAGCTAGACCAAATTATCACATTTATTTAAAATTAAAAATCGCTCATCGCTAACTTGTCAACGAAAGTTCAATTTAAACACTTGACACAGTGAACTGGGACAAATGTCAAGTCTGTTTGATCTGGTGGGAAGGAAGCAGAGATAACATCTCTCAGAAAGACTGAGAACGAAGAAGAAACAGATGAACAAGATCATTTACGCAGACACTCGTACAAAACATCGCTTACGTCGACCACACGCACTGGAGAAAAGTGTCGGGTATCCTGCCTACGAAACCCTACAAACTGAGATCTTCAGTGAAACACTGTAAGCTGTGGTAGAGCGATCATCACTGTTAGAAAAATTACCGTTAACGGTATTACCGGCGTTTCAGTGGCCGGTCGGCACATGAAAAGAAACACCGTGTCACCGTTTTTATTCTAATTCAACACTAGAAATCGGTAAAACATCTGATAAAAACGACGAAACAGTTTATTTTTACGCGGCGACCGGCCACTAGAACGCTAGTGGGACCGTTTTTTCACCGTTTTTCTAACAGAGAGGAACACTGCTCATAGGATCGGAAAATCCTGTACGAATTCCGAAGAGTAGAGACACGTCACACGACTCTTCCACGATCGAAATAAGCATTAAATTACTATCAACATCAAACACTCCTGCCTGTATAGTCTCTCCTATACGATTTACAGCAATGCAGTGCCGCAAGTTTAGTTTAGAGTAGCGAATTGCGAAATCATGTGCAGCAATGGATCGCTTGCCGCAGCTTGCGGTTTAGGCAATTTAAAATCTTCCAGCAGTTCTCACAAGGCCAATAAAATCTGCAGTAAATTGACGTCTTGTGCAGGGTGATGAAAACGGATGTAACATTGCATCGACATGCACAGAGCGTATGCTTCCGCAAGATTTTACTGATTGTGAACCAAATCACGAAGCATTGCAGTAAAAAAACGGTATCTGATGGATCGAGATACGAAGACTCATTTTCGTACAGATCACTACTACGAGGAAGTAGGTAAAGCTCATCATGATTCTCAGCGATCAAAAAGTAGACATGTACTTCAATTTAATGTGGAATGACATTACTAACCCAATATCGCATTAGGTACATCAAAACAATTAGAGCGAATAACATCTGCGTTTCGCAATATCCATAAGCTACCCACATACAGCTATTAAACATCAGTCGCATAAGGGCGACAATTAAATGACGAAAAGGTTGAGTATTGTATAATAACTCCTCCATCAAGGGTATATATAATTGCAGTGGATTTCACTATTATATCTTCTCCCCAGCTGTAATTCCTGCTATAAATGCTTATACGCGTGTAACGGGCAACTGAATAAATTCAATGTGTATGCAAAGCGGTACCTGCGCATGCAGTGGTGCAGCGATTCACGCACTGGACGAAGTTTTTTTTAGGATATTACGAAAAATTAATGATCGATCGAATGGCGTCGGACGACTATGAAAGATACAGTACAGGAGCGCTTCGTTAGTATGTTATACATACTACGACGGCTCATTCCACTCGATTCGTTGAAGCGAAGTGGTCTGGGGCTGAACGTTTGTTCACAGCGAAGGAGAGAACATGCAGTGAATCGTGCTCAAATAAATTACACACACCACAGCGTGATTTTCTACGATGTCGCTGTGACGTTACATGTACTAGGATATCTTCATTAGAAAATTTAATTTTACAAACGGCATAATATACTGCTAACAACTTTCACAATCGAATCTCAACTTGCAAGGAAATGTATTAGCGCCATAGGTTGTGACAGACTGCGTGGCAATCTTACGTGAATTCCTAAAATTATTACTAAAAAATTTTGTATGAGGCCATTACGGCCGAAATGATGGGCGTTATCAAACCACTTTTCCAAAAAATGTCTGCTGTTACAGGCGCATATATATAGTTGGTATAGTTAAGGACAATGAATTAATGCGTTTACGCCACGCGTGTGATGTTTGTGCACAGCTCCTCTTGGTGACGGCCAATAATCGATCGCTGCAAAACACTCCCGCTTGAAGCAGCTTATTTGAGTAATCAGTGCAATAGTTCTAGCGGCCGGCATCCTGCACCGAAAGCGGATGTGGAGTCCGCACCGTGCACGCTTTATCTGGCCCTGCCCCAACACTAGCTGAGCTGGTGTTGCAGCCTGCAACATTATTTTTAACTAGTTTTTGTAGTGGAATTCAGCACGAAAAGCTTAGCTTTTAGCAAGCAATATATCTGAGGAAGAAACACACAACCAAGTTTATTTTCTGCTGCCGAGACGAGCTGTAATGTACTTTTGAGCGCCGGATTTAATGATTAATGTTTAATTTTTGCTATCAATCAATTTTAGTTGCACGAGGAAAGTAGCAGCTTTCATTTATATTATAAATAATTGAAAAAGCAAGCGCGGGGTTGTATAACAATAAAAGAACCGTTCACAAAGAGACTTAACATAAAACTACTCAAATTACGACTCACCAGCTTAGGCAGTGGGCCAACGTCT